ATTGTGTCTAGGCATAAGGAAAGTGTATTATTGCTAGCTTGCCATCTTTAGATTGGATCTACATCACCCAAGATCAAATTTCTAATCCCATGAGTCCTCTTGCTTAATTTTGAGAAAGAAAGATCATCCCTTTATTGCATTTTAGTAGTATTCTAGTTCAATATCATCTCACTTATTGGTTGCACTTAGATTGAGCATGGTCTTGCATTCCCTTTGCTCTAGGATCACTTAGAACTGGTTCGACATCTCTTATACTACATCATTTGATTAGGACCCTTGAAAAGTCCTATTATCACAAAGCCGGTGAGCACTCCACTTGGTGCACATTTCAAGTTAAGTTCGAAGCAAAGTCCAACAAGTGAGAAGGGAAAAGAGGAAATGAAGACTATCCCATATGCATCAGAAGTGGGCAGTCTCATGTATGCTATGGTGTGCACCAGACCTGACATTGCCTATGCTGTAGGAGTTTTAAGTTGATTTCTTGCGAATCCAGGAAATGAGCATTGGAAAGCAGTTAAGTGGATCCTACGCTATCTACGAGGCACAACAAAGAAGTGTCTACGTTTTGGCGATGGAAAATTGGAGTTGAACGGTTACATTGATGCAGATTGGGCTGGTGATAAATATTTAGGGAAATCAACATCAGGATTTGTGACTACCTTTGCAGGGGGAGCTGTTTCATGGCAATCAAAACTACAAAAGTGTGTTGCCTTATCCACCACAGAAGCAGAGTATATCGCAGCAACGGAAGCATGCAAGGAGATGTTATGGATGAAGAACTTCTTGCTTGAGTTAGAAGTAAAGCAAGAGAAGTACAACATGCTATGTGACAACCAAAGTGCTATACACTTAGCAAAGAATCCAACGTTTCACTCCCGCTCAAAACACATCGACATTCGGCACCATTGGATTCGAGAAGTTTTTGAAGATAAGCTTCTACATCTCAACAAGTTACACACAGATGAAAACTGGTCAGATTGTATGACCAAGGTATTGCCGATCAAGAAGTTTGAAAATTGCTGCAAAGGCACGGGCATGAAGACGGTTTCGGACTAAGTTGGAAAGGGGGAGATTTGTTGGATTTTCCTCCATTAGTCCAGACCCAAAATTATGATCCATATTAAGAGCCCAAAAGAGAAGCATAAGGAGAAAGAATTCTCTAGAATTATGGAGAAAAATAGAGAAAGTTATGGAGTAGAATAATTAATGTTAGAAATTTTGGATTAGGATAATAATTTAGAGAAATCTAGAACATGTTCGAGTTTTCTCTTTCACTTGTATATATAGGGGTGCTTAGCACAATTTGTAATCATCAAGAATCAAGAAGAGAAACATTTGTAAGAGAGAGTTCTTAAAAAAAAAGCCTCTGTAGTAAATTCCTTTCCAAAAAAAAAAAAAAAAGTCTTCTTCTTAAATTTCTTAGTTGTCTAAATTCCATCTTTATCTCACAAAGAATATTGGGTGATTTCTCAACAGGATTTAGGGTTTAGATATAAAGTTTTATATAGGATAAGTATCATGGGGGAGGTGGAACAAAACTTTGAAGATTAACTTTAACATCACTGATTGAGAAGATTACGGGAAAAAGAAATCAGACATTGGACAAGATGAAGTGGAAGAGTGAGGGAGTGACTTTTGATGGTTAAAGACATAACAGGTTTATAAGCTTTGACTGTAGTGGGCCGAATGATATAATAAAGAGAACTCACACAAAAACTCATTTCACTTATAAGCTGTGATGTGTCAATTTCAAATTTTCTGATTGGTTTCATATACTTTTAGTATCCCCTTATAATTAATACAGAACCAAAATCTAAAAATAACTTTGAGTTTGTATTTTATTTACATTAGTGCCATTTCGCTAACGTGTCAGTTTGTCAGCGACTCTCAACTTCCTTTCACCCTCACCCTCTCATATCTAGACAAATTACTAAAAATACCATTGGGCTGACTTATATGTAATATATTGTTTACGACACATAATTTTTGAATCGTATAATCCCGTGGACTCTACCACATGTGATTATAATCATGTTTTCCACGTCATACTGTACTAGAATTAAGTCTCACTTTCCTGCACAAGAAATTAAAATCAGTTGAATTCTCTACGACGAACAAATTATTAGAAAATCGTTATAAATTTGTATCTATCGAATCACTACTTAACGTGAATTATTTGAAATTCCTAAGAAATGTGTGCATATTTCATCAACACTAAATTTGAAATTGACAGATGGATGTTTCAGCCAATTAGTTCACTTCTAATAATTATAATTCTAGATTATAGATTTAACTTCTAAATTATCACGTGTACAGACCAATAAAATACTAAACGACTATAAGTTAAGGTGATCTTTTTACCAAAGAAAAAAGTTAAGGTGATCTTACACATATTGTTGCTCAAAAATAGGTGATCTTACACATATAATTGGTCCAACATATGCTATACAGTTTCTTCATCATTATTTATTATTTCTTTTGAATATTTATTACTAGCTCTCGGTCATAGTAACAAATGTCGTCGTATAATTTTTTAATTATGAGTAAGAATCAAATTTAGGAAGTTTAGTTTGAAAACGTTAGATTGGTCTGGAAGAAGTTTATTTTCGTTTCAAAGACAATTGTTAAACTTCTTTACCAAGCTCTTACTTTTTTCTATACTTAATTTCCTAATATGTTTTGAATAGTTATCAAATCATTTGCTTAAATATCTCTACATTAAAGTTGCATATTTCACTTTTAGGAAGTTCTGTACTACTATGTTAGACCATCCACAATGGTGGCATCAAGGGTGGAGTCCTTACCAGTAAAAAATTAATTATTTTTTGAATAGTTCAGGATTCTAATTCAAAAAGGTAGGTGCAACGGTGTTATCCGAAATATAATCCTTAGGAATAAAAAATATTAAAAATAAACATTTGGGAAAATTAAATTTTTTTGTTGCAAAGTTTTTTAAAAAATACAATAACTTTTACTAATCATCAAGAAATTTTTTCCAAATATTTTCAGTTAAATCATTATTCAGCTGTTCATGCATACGTTTATCGCGAAGATGAATCCGAATGCCATGCATTTCCTCGAGATTTGGAGGCATGTAGGCATTATAAGACATATCGACCCTTGCACTTCTGGTGGCACCTTCTTCTTCAAATTTCGATGTATCGTCTGAGTGTATCCATCTCTTTCATTTTCGACAATCATATTATGTAGTATGATACATGTTCTCATAATCTTCCCTAACTTTTCCTTGTCCCATGAAAGAGCCGGTTTTTTCACAATCGCAAATCGAGCTTGCAATACTCCAAAAGCCCGCTCCACATCTTTCGGGTTGATTCTTGAACTTTAGCAAATAACTCGGCTTTTGGACCTTGAGGAAGTGAGATAGATTGGATAAATGCTGACCACTTTGGATAAATATTGTCTGTGAGGTAGTACGCCAGATTATACATGTGTCTGTTGACCACGTACTGTACCGCGGGAGCTCGACCTTGCGTAATGTCATCAAAGACAGGAGATCGCTTGAGGACATTAATATCGTTTAAGGTACCTGGGACACCAAAAAAAGCGTGCCAAATCCAAAGATCATGTGAAGCAACAGCCTCTAAGACAATTGACGGTTTTCCTGATCCACGTGTGTACTGCCCTTTCCAAGAAGTACGGCAGTTCTTCCACTTCCAATGCATACAGTCAATGCTTCCTATCATCCCAGGAAGTCCGCACACCTCTCCAATATCGAGTAGTCGTTGAAGATCCTCTGGTGTAGGTCTTCGTAGATACTCTTCTCCAAATAGCTGGATTATTCCGTCAATGAAATGTTGTAAACATGAGAGTGTCATGCTTTCATCAAGTCGGAGATATTCGTCAACCGCGTCAGCCGCAGAACCATAAGCATGCATTTGAATTGCTGCCGTACATTTTTGTAGTGGTGAAAGACCTAACCTCCCAGTTGCATCTCTTCTTTGTTGGAAGAATGGAAATTCTTCGGAGAGAGCATTGACAATACGCATGAATAAGTCCTTGTTCATACGGAAACGGCGTCGGAATAAATGTGCCAGAAATATCGGCTCTTCGCTGAATAGTCTTGCAATAGACGGTCGTGTCCAGGTTCGCGGTTTCGTTCTATATAAGAACGTCTGTGTGGCTTTTTGGGTTGGGCCTCCAAAATGTTGTTGTAGGTATCGTCTATGAGATCGTCGATAATTTCGTCCAATCTTTCGTCCGCTCCATCGGATGAAGATGATGACATTTTCGGGTTTCGGTTATTTATTTTTTTCCCGTCCTACCATTAAAAAACACCAACTTAAATAATTGGTGCAAAAAAACAAATCTACTTATAAAAAAATTAAATTTTATAATGCAACATAATAGTATAGTTTTTCTTTCTGTACAACTTTTTGGATTATATTTTATCAATTGAAAAATCAAAGTGATTTCTGTTAGAGACTCAAACATTGAATGGAAACTGCATGTTTATATGTTCACTTGTTATTAAACTCATTTGTTTAATCATCTTAATGTGCAATATGTCGTCTAGTGTACATGCACATATGGGTGTGTCCATTAGTCTATGTATATGGACTAGTTAAGTCTTAGTTCCAGTTTGATAAGAAAACTCGGTCTTTTAAAAAAATAAGCATAACATAAACGGCCATGTTTGAAGATATATCCTAGAAACATAGCCACATCTTGCTTGTTTCTCAAGTTTTTAAAACAGGATTTGAATTCAAATTAACAGAGATCAATTGAGGCATTTCAATAGCATTACAACAAAAGAAGTTACTGAAAAGAAGTTAATAGCATTACAACAAAAGAAGTTACTGAAAAGAAGTTAATAGCATTACAACAAAAGAAGTTACCGAATTTATGGAAGCAATAGTAGTTGATTACAAGTCTCTGGAGTAAGCCACAAACATCCGCAACTTCCGAGTTACAAGGGGAAAAGATTACAACTCCGTCAAAGGAAACTAGAGATAGATGAGGTGGAAACTAGAAAAAAACAACTACCTAATGAGATGATACAATGGAAACTTATACTAGCTTTTACAACTACCCGTGACTTCTTGTACCTTCTTGTCCAACAGCTACACCTGAAAGAAAACAAAAGACAAGAGTTAGTAAAATACAAGAAACCAAGTAAAGTAAAAGACAAGCGTTGGTAAAATACAACCCGTAACTTGTTACTTAATATCAAACCTATACTAGCATTAAACAACATGTTACTAACCTAACCTAATACCTTAATATCATCACATCATCTCAGTCATGAGTTTCACTTTAAGAGATTCTTCCACCTCCGAGAGAGGATCTTTTTTCGCAAGTAAACGGTCTAGAATCTTTTCTTTACAGATTTTATGTTTGACTTCCAAGATGGACTGAAGCTGTGACATTTCTTCTTCCTTCCCAGTCTTCTTTCTCTTGCCAGCAGCTTTAGCAGCTTTGACACCAACTGGTCTGGTTTCAGGCTCGGGAACTTCATCTTCTGTATCAACGTCGACAACTTGTTTGCGCTTCTCTTTCCCACCGTCTTTAACAATATTGGCCGTGCACCATTTCTGGTCATGCCTAATATCCCCCCACGCATGTTCAAGGCTGAACTTGTGGTCGTACAATTTGAAGAACAAGTCCAGAGCATCTTTCATCACATCGTCTTCATTCTAGCCACTACCCAGCCCCCTCAACGCCGCGTCATAACAACAAACGAACTTACATACTTGCTCATTAATCCTAGCCCACCTCTGTTTTGCTGGACCAAGCTCTCTAGGTACCGTCCCAATCAGTTGAGGGCTCTCGTTGTAGTAATCTACAATTCTCTTCCAGAAACGGTCAGCTTTCTTGTCACAACTCACAATGGGGTCTTTTCTGGTGTTAAGCCACACACCAATGAGGATTTTATCTTCATTGGGAGACCATTTCCTCCTCTCTTTGCTAGCAGACTTGACAGTAGGCTGGACAGAAGACCAACACCAGTTTGGAAAGAAGACTCGACTCCATGTTGGAAACAAGACTCATCAGGACCTTGCCTACCGAACCAAGCTGGTTCGGGGGACTCAAGATCAACTGACGTTTGACTATACAAAAGATTAATAAAACCAGTTGGGTATTCATGTTTAGATTTTGGTTTGGGTTACTCTATTAACAACACAAACCCTTAAGTAACCGATAGAAAGTAAGTACGCATTTAGTTTCGGAGTAGTTAGACAGATAGAAAAAATCAAAGCATTTACCACTCACAGTAATAAGTTCTACACTAGCTACGTTTAACCTAACAAGTATGAATGCAACAAATCTAGCATTAAAAACCATTAAGGCATGAAGAGAGAAGTTATTGAAGTTAATTTTAATTCAAAAAAATTATCTAACCTAAATATTTTTATTACTCAAAGTAATGGTAAGAAAGAAACTTACCTGCGAGGCCCATTCCAAGTTGAGACACTGATGTTCAAATCCTCCGAAACTCTTCCTTGAAAGACATAAGAAAAAACAGTTAATAATTATATTTTAAATGAAAATATTTATCTAAAGAATGTATGAAACTTAGATGCCCATTACGATGACCAGTATTAGCAAGAACAGTAGACAAACTACCTTTCCCAACCCATTCTTAACAACTGCTTTCTTCTTAGTTAACACACCCACGATTTTCTCTAGCTTAGCCACCTTCTGGTCACTCTCAAAGCATTGATCCTTGACCATCCTAAGTTGTGTCTGCGTTTCAAGAAGCTCTTCTTGAATCCCCACATCCCACCATTTCCAGATGTGAGTGTCTCCATCGTCAACGTTGGAGCGATAGAAGTACCTCCTTCCTGGATCTTTTTCAATGTACGAGGTTGTTGTCTCAACAACCGGATCACTACCGCAATAGCATATCCTCGGTATTCCTTCATCAGCCTCAGGTTCCGTTCTGTACTGATCCGCCGCTGCATATGTGAAGCTACTATCGCCTTCATCCGCGTAGAGAGCAGCTTCTGCTTCAAGTAAAGAGGTCATGTCGAACTCCTCTGATGAAGAAGGCTGAGTGTAACTATAGTCTTGTCCCATGGTCCGTTTGCCTGCACAAAAAAAATAGAAGAAAACTAAATATTAAGAAGAAGAAGTAAAAGAAGATAGTAAAGCTTAAGAACACATAACTAGGCTGTTTATTAAGAACACATTAACTTAGATATATGATCAACTCAACAGATTACTTGCTACACATTAAGGTAACTTAGATACTTGATCAACTAAACAGATACCAGCTTATTACTCCATGATTCTCAACGAGATCCGAGAACAAAAAGAAACCCTAAGCTTTCATCACATCGACTGAAACCGAAAAAAAAAATCAAGTTGAAACCCTAATCCTTTTAAAAATCAAACCGAAAACGAATTCAAGCCCTAAATAAATCTATTGAAACCCTAATCCTTAAATCAAATCGAGCTAACTACAAACCAAATCGATTCAACTGAGATACGAAACATAGATGGAGACGAGAAGAACAACGAACCTAACCTCTCCTTAGATCTACCACAGAAGAAGGCTATTTACCTTTACAAGATCACAGAAGAGGAAGATCGATGGTGGAGACAAATCGCCTTTTAACTCTCGAGCTCTGATTTTTTTTTTCTCCCCTTCGTTACCAAATGAATTTTTTTCCAACCAATCCCAAAGCCTATTGCTCACCGGCCCAACCATCAGACGACACGTGCACGAAGGACTTGATCCTTCGGGACGGACTCATCCGTACTGATCCGTCTAATTTCAAGTCCATTTCGATTTATTTTAATTCCTAAAATGTTAAGGATTTGGGCCACGGACCCGTGACGGACCTCCGTTGCTGATGGTCTTAGTATTAATGTGTTCGATTCATGTGCAAGGATTATCTTTTTCGTTTAAAAGGCAATCTACCTCATCAATGCGATATTGCTAAACCTACACCTACCTCCCACCTATATATACAGTTTAGCTATCGATTAGGCCTGTCTCACATACGCCCTAGCAACCTAAAATTACATCATTCGAAAATATGAAGGCTTCATGTAGACAAATTCATGTTTATCTATGCTGATTTATTTGTTATTTATCTCAGGGTGATAAGATTCATGCATCCCTTAAGAAAGATTTGGGGTCTCTGTTGATCCATTCTTAAAACAAGGATAGACGAAGATATTAATTAATTTCTCCCTCACACACTCGGTTGAGTCATATCAACCAAAGAATCTAAAGTTTAAAAGTTTTGTTTATATCATATTTGTTAACGTTTGTTTATATAGTATATGTTTTTCATGTGTAGGTGGGTTTTAAGCATGCCACTAACATTCGAGGGTGGTTCAAATTATTGTTTTACGCTGAAACTCCAGAAATACAAAGCCTTAAGGTGAAGTATAAGCACAGGCATTTTTATTTAATATACTCTGTTTTCTTACACTACCACACCATATAAATATTTCTTTTTTAATTCAGAATTCTAACATTGAAGGCATATATAACAAGGTTTGAAGAAACATTTCAGCTTACCATCTTCAAAAAAAAAATTTGAGTTCCACTTTAAAGTTTATGTTTTAGCGGCTTTTATATGAATTTGTCTACATGCTTTCTCTAAGTTTTAAGATCTAGAATTATTTACTTTTAGCCTCATGAGTAATTTGTATGAAAGACTATACCAAGTATGCTTCGATCAAACCCAAACAATTACACAGAAGAGACGAATGTCTGAGGCTAACCTTTGAATCGGCAGCCGTCCATGTATTTGAAACATAAAGAGTTGTGTCCCCATAATTAAGAGAAGCTCTCTGTTAAGAAAACAGAATCCATGTCCCAGTACAATACATCCACTGTGAGAGAATCATTTGGGTAAAACTCTTCTCATAACTATAATGAAACACATACAATAACTATTTTCAGATTAACTAATAGAATTCCTTAATAAGAAAACACTTATACACACTGGTTAATTTCGTAGTAAAGGGCTTATGTATAGATTTGAAAATTTACTTTGACAAAAAAATAATGAATGATACCTTCAGCAATATAGGAAGCTATTAGCATTGCTACTCCTATATACACAATCCTGTAGCGATTCACCGATAGCAATCAGTTATTCTTCAACATTCAATGATTGTTGAATTATGTGTGTCCACCACCTGGGATGACAAATTAAAAAGGAAATTGATACACAATCATTAATAAACAGATCATCAAGTATTGACCCAGAAATTATGCCTATCTAAAATACAGAGATCACCGAACTACGAGCTTCACCTAACGAAGTACTATGTACTTTAACGACGGTCAGAAATAGAAAATTTGTCGAGACGATAAGTAAGAAATGAGAAAGAAACTGAAATTGAAGATGACAGACAAAAAAATGAGAATCATATGTGAAAGGATCTCAAAAGATTTGGTTTAGATTTAACGGATTGAATTTTGTCGAAGGAGCCCTAATCCCCTTTTCTCTCTAAGTTGTCGATGTTTTAGAGATGAGCAATTTTTTTCAATGCCAACAATGTCGTTTAGAGCATCTCCCAACTAGGGCTGCAAAACCTCAAAATAAGGATTTGGGGATTATCTGCTCTAACCATAAAACCTCATAATAATCCTTAAACATTTTACATTATTTATATTATAGTCTTTGATATTGACAAAAATTATGAATAATGACAATACTTCACAAATACATATAAAACATACAATTAATATATTATAGAACACACAATATTACAATATTATATGATAAAATAATATAAATTACATATATAATAAAATAACATAGACATACAAAATTTAGAAAGTTACATATAAAATACCACTTGTAAAGTATGTAATATTTAAATGTTTATATAATTTTCTTTAATTTATGTTAAGTTTTTAATGTTTTTTATTTTTTATTAGTTTTATTTAATGTTTTTTATATTTTGTGAATTTACTTTTAATGTTATGTATTATTTATTATATTTTATTTTATTTTGGTGTAAATAAGTTACTCTAAATAAAATTAGTAGATATATTTGTGAAAGAAAATAATTGTAAAGATTAAAAAGATAATGAATAGTAGTTTTAAGGTTTGAACAGTAAAAACTTAAATTTGAGGTGTCATTATTCAAAACCTCAAAATTTGAGAATTTAAGATTCGATTGAAATGACAAAAACCTCAAAATTTTGAAGATTTGAGGTTGGGTTGGAGATGCTCTTAAACAACTTCATGTAAGGGCTAATTATTCCTTTTATTTTTACATTCCAGCCGAGTATAGGCTTTTAGCTCAATAATCCATCAGTCAGCTGACACTCTCGCTAAAGCCCAACTATCCCACCATGTAACCCAACTCTCTGAGTCTTTTTAGCCTTTTAAATGAAAGTATTTTTTTATCAACTTTAAATGAAAGTAATATGTTGCACAAAAAGAAGTTTAATAACGCAGAGTATTTTTCATTGTAAGGCAGATTCATCTTTTTTATGTCAACAAAAGACAGTTCCCGCTCTTAGAGCTGTTGTTGGTGTGAAAAGACTTAAGTTACCCTTAAAAAGGTGTAACCAAGGGTGTTTCGTCGGTATTTTATTTAGTTAGGTTTTTTTTTATTTTTTTCTTTTGTTTCTTTTTCTTCTCTTCTCTCTCCTTTTGAAACCGTGTAACCTTTCACTTTCCCCAGAGAAATCTTGGAAGAAGGAGGCGATTGCTAGGGTTCGATTGTGAGTTTGGGATAGTGAGAAAGGGAATTTCGACGGCAAAAGAAGATAACTCGAGTTCGAACGATGTCACGGCGACGAAGCTTGCGGCTCGCCGGAAACGTCGACGATAATGTACCCGGAATCTGGATCTCCTTCGCGTAATCCGTTTTGGGTTTTTTTTGGGGGTTTCTAATATTTGTTTTTTTGCAAATCTGTAGGTGTTGACTCAACTGTTGAGATGGCTGAGAAAGAGAACCCGGTTGGTGATTTACCGGCAAGGCTTTTCGCGATGGATCGGTTCCCTTGCGAGAGGGTGAACACGTACTCCACAATTGATTTCTTATTGACGGTTAGAGATGCATTAGATGGTTCACCCGAGATGAATGTTTTGATGGGTTCATGTTTTGGGAGTCTCTTGAAGATACCGGTGCGTAGGCTGTTGGCCGGGAAAGTGGTTCATGGAATGTTGACTAGACAGGTTGTCACGAAGAAAAAGTTTGAGATATGGCCTGTTTTCGGTGGTAAACCACTTCGTTTTTCTCTGTTGGAGTTTGGAGAAGTGACTGGGCTGCCTTGTGGTGAGTTTGAAGAAGGGTACAGTTATGATTACCAGCTTCCAGTGAAAGAAGAAAAGTTTGTGTATTGGGAGACACTGTTAGGAACAACAAAGGATATTACTCTCAAGGAGATTGCTGCAATGGTGACAGTGGATAGGGGCATGCCTGGGTGGAGGAAACTGCGGTTGTGTCTCATACTTATAGTTGATGGGGTTTTGATGGCAAAATCTCAAAACCCAAGGCCAACACCCAAATATGTGAAACTTGTTGAAGATCTGGATAAGTTCTTTGCTTTCCAATGGGGCAGGGAAGCTTTTTTGTGTACTATTAGCACAATGAAGCCAGCACCAAAAGAGTTTGGGAAGTGTGAGAATCCGTTGGGAGATTTCTGTAAGAAGCTAAGGCAGAAGACAGTGAGAATGGTGGGGTTCCCTGTTGCGCTGCAGTTGGTTGCATTTGAAGCAATTCCACAATTGCTGAATCGTGCTGGAGGGGATGATAGTGTGACTTTGATGAACTTTGGTGGAGATGCGTTGCCACAACATGCGGGGTTGACTGTCATCGATTTAAGAAGGGCAGAGCACGAACCTGGGGTAAGTATAACAGAGTATCTGAATTCATGTTTCTGAATATGTGAGTTGTGTACAGATTAGGTGTTGTGGACATTAATTTTTTTGTGTACGTTTAATAGTTTGCTAGATTTAGGTTAACTTTGTTGTGTTCAGTAAACTAAAGAGTTATGTCAGTGTACATTAAAAGGGTATGGGGCAAATTAAAAGTTGTGTACATTTCGGTGCTTAGATGGGTGACTAATAGGTGTGTACACAAATATGTGGTGTGCGAGATGTTTAGCTGAATTGGCAGTCGTGTACAATAATTGAAATTTAGGTGTGTATAGAGTGTACAAAGTATGTGGTGTACGTTTAGTTAAGTTGGTGTACATGTAAGTGTGGGTGTAGTGACAGGAGTGTACATTTTTTGGGCATGTTGAAAGTAGTATTAGTAAATGCTAATATGTCGTTTTTCATTTGCAGCTTGTTGTGCAAACACTGCTGGAGATCAAGGGGACGCACGAGGATAGGTGGGGGATAGTGGATGAAGAAAAGTTTGATAAGAAGGTTGAAACAATGCTGAAGCTTGCGAAGGATGGGTATATATTCACAAAGGCTGACTGGGTTGGTGGGGATGCAAATGACCCACTGTACGATCATTCAGCGGCTGAGAAGAGAAAGAAACGACCAGGGANAAGAAGAACCGATGCTGAAGCAGAGGCGGCTTAGTGGGTTTGTGAAAAGGGGGAATTTTGTGGATGCAGAGCAACATGCTGCATTAGAGTTGCGCGTGGGGGCCCTAGAAGCAGAAATGATTAGGCTGACAAATGTGTGTGGAAAGCAGGCTCGTACATTAGAGAGGTGGAGAAAAATAAGGAAGGGGAAACAACTTCGAATGAGTTCAAAAAGAAGAGAGATGAGGAAGAGGGAGGAGAAGAAAAGAAATGAAGACATGGACACTGAAATCAGTGCGGAGGATGATGTACATGAGATGGAGATAAATGAGCCAATAACACCTTACGTGGCGAAAAGTGTGGTTCATGAGGTACCAAATTGAATGCCTGCTGTTTTAACATTTTTGGTGGGTTTTTTTTTTAGAACCATTGTGCTATTTTACTCAGGGTAGTACCGTGGATGAAGACGTCTCTGAAAAAAAGAAATTCGAAGAGGGAATCAGTGATGAGGTAAATAAAAGGTGTAGACAAAATAAATGCGATTTACACATGTGGTTGACCTTGTTCTCGGTCCTGCAGGAAATGGAAAGGTTGAATGTATTAGTTGGGGCTGCATCCCAAATAGGTGAAAAATTGGGAAGCGGGGGGATTGATGGGGCAGAGTATGCTGGAGTAGATGTACAGGTATGTTTTCTGACCTTTTATTTGGGTACATAAAATGTGGTTGTTGAAAGGTAGTGATTTGGATTTTTATGTATATATACATCATAGGGGGGCGATTCTGGTGAAGAGGAGGGTGGTGGGGTGGCTGAAGAAGCAAAAGTTGATGAAGTGATTGAGAGTAAGGAAATGGAAACCGAAGAGGATAGGGAGGTAAAAAAACGTTGTTGATGTACATTTCGACGAATGTACACGTGTGCATGTGTGTATATGAATTGATATAAAATTTTGATGTAGGAAATGGCTGTAGAAGATGGGATGCTCAGAACGGAAATTGATTCTGAGAAAGAGATTAAGGTAAATTTTAGTTAACCGTGTACATGATTTAAGTCTTGTTGCAATGTATATGGAAGTAACAACTGAGACAATTTTTGGCGTAGGGAATGGCTGTAACAGATGGGTTGCTGAGAAAGGAAACTGAAACTGAGAAAGAGGTAAATTATGGCTGGCCGTGTACACAAGGAGGTTTTGGGGTGACAGTTATACGTGTACGCTCTTGTGGGAGTGTACATGGAAGTAATGTACAAGTTAATGATATAATGTACAGCTAGAATGATTCAGGGTTTAGTAGACATAATGTATGCATGTACAGCATGTGTTGCGTTTCAATTGATAGACGTGGTGGTGTGTTTTGCAGGCTGTGGAAGAAGAGAGAGTGGGAAACATTGATAGTGGAGATGACCTGACAGATGAAGATGAGGAAGAGAGCATCAGTACGAAGGAGGTTTTGATCTTGAGTGATTCACCAGGAACAATGGCCAAGAAGCATAAGCCTGAGGCGGAGGAAGAGGAGTTATGGGGTATATTAGCGAAAGATCCCATGGTTCTAGGAGAGATGGTGCCTATTTATGAAGACTGCGATTATCCTTTTTTCCATAAGGTTCTGCAAGCGAATCTGAAAACGTAAGTTGAAAGAAGAGAAAGTTGTGATTGTGTAGTTTCTTGGAGTACATATTGTTAATGTTTTTAAAAAAAAATTTCACGCAGGATGCATCTGAATGCTGGGGGACATAACCTTGACAACCAGTTTTTTATTGACTTGGCAACACCGGGGAAATGGGTGACTAGCACGGTAAATGCAATTGATATAAACTTTGCCAATTTTTTGGGGATTGGTGGATACTTATTTGTTGTTTAATGTGTAGCATATGCAAGTGCTAATGGAATATAGTGAACGTCGGTACGGGTTAATCCTACATCTGAGGAGGGCAATGTTTGTTGCGCCATGGTTCACAGCGCACATGCAAAGGAGGGACAGATCTGTTAACGCGGCTAGACGCAAAACACGGGTAGCAGGAGATGCTAAGATTGCCAAGTATCTAAGTAA